AAGGGACAAGAGAGCAGGGGGATGATAGAGAGGAGGGCAGATTGGGAAAGGGGAATCAGAAGCAAATACTTCTGAGGAGGGACAGGGTCAAAAGAAAGAATAGAATAAATGGGAGGGCAGGATAAGATTAAGGGAAATGGAGTTAGTTTTTCACAACATGTCTACTATGGATGTGTTTTGCATAACTGCACATGTACAACCTATATTGAGTTGCTTGCTTTTTCAATGAGGGTGGGTGGGGAGGGAGGAAGAAAGAAAATTTGAAACCTAAAGTTTTAAAAACCTATGTTTAAAAAAATGTTTTCACATGCTACTAGGAAATAAGAAATATAGGAAATGGGGTACAGAAGTCTATCCTGCCCTACAGGAAAATAGAAGGGGAAGGGGATAAGAGAAGGAGAGAGTGATAGAAGAGAGGACAGACTAGGGGAAGGGATATTCATAATGCATGCCATCTTGGGGTAGGGGGAGGGGGGAGATGGGGCAGAAATTTGGAATTCAAAAACTTGTGGGAATGAATGTTGAAAACTAAAAAAAACAAATTTATATTAAAGATGTACAAACTGAGACCCAAAAAGATTACTTTGGCTAAGGTCACAAAGGCACTTAAATAAAGAGTGGGGTTCAGACTCAGGGCCCCAAATTCCTAGTCCAGCACTCAAATTCCTCTATTTCTCTTTCACTCAAAGGAATTTGACCCTGATGGTGGTGATGCTAGATCAGGTAGGTTCAATAGAAGACATCTTTGGAAATGTGTGGCTACTTGTAGATACCTCAAACTACCTATACATTGTCTCTCATTCTTTCTCAGATAACTCAGTAGGACCTTTCCCGGAAGCTTACAGAACACTTAGTCCAACTACAAATTGCAAATAGATAGATAGATAGATGTGTATATATAGATATAGATATAGATATAGATATAGATATAGATATAGATATAGATATAGATATAGATATAGATATAGATATAGATATATAGATATATATAGATGTATATATGTATATATATACACACATATGTATATATGTATATTTCTTACTAGTGGAGGGTCACAATCACCAGCTTTGCAAATTAAAGGCAATACACAATCAATTTCATCATTCTGATTTTAACTTTATTAAATAGCATACAGTATCAATTAGGCAAAAATAATGGGTTCTGCCTTTGGGCTCGGGCTACTATGGAATGATATTGACACCTTTGTAAGCAAATGATAATACAGTGCGAATTATAAAAAATCTTAACTTCCATCTTAGACACACAGAAGTTTTTAAACATAAGTGTGTTATAATTTTATATTATTTGGGGATTTCATGTCTTATTAATCAACAGTGACCACAAAAGCTTCAGCACAAAGAAGATGTGGCTGCCCATAATGTTACTGTTATGTTGGTATTACCATCAGGAAAGGGAAACAGATTTTTAATGTGATTGACCTTTATTACTGCAAGTGCTATGATGAACTGACTGCAGCATTACTCCAAAGGGGCAAAACAGCAAGATATGTGAAAAGAATAGCAGCACTGTACTACACCATAGTGCATCCTAGGACACGTACATGAAAAATATTTTTGTCATGATATCTAATGCTTGAAAGCCCATCCTTTTAATTCAAAGGCCTACCAATGTGACCCACATTTCTTTGTAGCTCCTCTCTCTTATTTCCTTGACACATTGTACTCTATAGTTATGATCCTTCTTGGTTCGAGGTTGATGTTGGCAGAAGGATGTATGAGGACCTCTATTTGAAATGTAAACACTTTGAGAGCAGGGACTCTCTTTTTCTTTTCTTTTCTTCCTTCTTCCTTCCCTCCTTTCTTCCTTTCTTTCTCTTTCTTTTTTCTTTCTCTTTTCGTCTTTTAGTCCAAACACATAGCACAATGCCTTACATGTAGTAAGCATTTAAGAGATATTCCTGACTTGAATGAAATTAAATTGAAAAATCAAAACTATTTGGGGTGATTGATCAGGGGAACCCTCAAACAATTTTATGAATTCCCCAATCAACTTAATGAGATCATAAGGCATGGACCTTTGGGGGCATCTGATGGTGTGGGGCAAGGCCACAGATGACTTCCTGAGAGGACACAGAAAAGTCCAAGATGATTTCCTGGCTAAAACTCAGAAGAATAAACTCTAGTTGGTGGAATCATCCCTCTATGGTATATAAAAGCAAGCTCACAAAGAAACTCCCTCTCATCTTAGAATTCCTATTTGCCTTTCCATTTGTGCCTTCTTCCAGAGTGTGGCAAGGAGATAAGAAAGGGGATATTTCCCTCTACCTTCTGAAAAGTTAATTGTGATTTATGATTAAAAAGCATATGCTGAACTATAGATGTTTGACCAGGTGGCTTTAGAGAGACATCCTTGGAACTCAAATTCATGGCCTCCTTTCTACTTTCTGTTTCATGTTTCCTTTTCTGAACATGTCAGAGACCAGAGACATGATGGTGGGCTTCCCCAGCAACAGAGATGACAATAGCTGGTGCAACAGCTAGGCCTCCTAAAGAAGTACATGGCAGAGGCAGATACATGATTTGGGCTTACATAGACCAAGAGGAAAACTACATGGAAAATATTCATGAATCCCAGACTCCTGTATGGAGGAGGGGAGATTTGGAATTCACAAGAGCAACATGATCATAGCATATGGTCTTCTAAAAAGAAAAGCACATTCTCTAGACATTGCCTTGAGACAAGCTCAAGAATTCTCAAGTTTGAAACTTCAAGGATCAGACCCTCCAGAAAGATAAGGGCACTTCTTGATGCAGTGTGATCCTTGAAGAAAGAAGAGGGTCATCCACATATCTCCTAATCAGTGTCCAGTGTGGAAAGCAAAGGCAGTGAATAAGTTGGTCTCTGTAGGTCCAATTGGAAGAAACTTGCGTGTTCAGCAATCCTCAAAGAATGCTTTCATGTTGAGGGAGTATTCTAAACCACAGGTTATTACTATGACTCTCAAAAGAACTGTGCAGAACTCTGTGACAAAGAGTCATGTCAAAGAACAATTACCGTAATAACCCCAAGCTCAGTTGTCTTCTGGGGAAGCTGATTGGCAATTTCAGGGCTATATGTGATTTTGTTTTGTTTCGTTGCTTTCAATCTGTTTATGGAGTCCTCTGAATCTTTAGTGTCTTCTGCATTTTCCATTGTGTAAAATATTAGCTGTCCATTACTCATTTTGCATTTCCTACCTTTAATGTTTATATTAGAACTGAGGACTCTTTTGAGGAAACACACATGAAATATACTTGAATATATTCAGAAGTTTTCCTGAAGTAAAGGTAAGGATAACAAGCCAATGAAAGAAACTGGCTGTCCCTGGGTTAGGCCCTCAGGACCAGACCTGATCTGCATGAGTATAGATCTGGGCCACAGGTTTCTAATACTGTTTCTATGAAACATCAGCCTCTTTCAAAACACATGATCATCATGTCTGGAGATACATAGTACTAGTACATGGAGAAAGTAAAAGGAAGCGCACTCCCCTGACTGTAGGTTTTCTTTTCTTACAAGGTTTCTCTTCTACCATTCTCAGCATCCAATCCACCATTCCTAGAATTTTTATATGTCAATATCTTCCCCACCACCACCTTACTGTAGTAAGCACCTGGTGTTGTAATTGGTAGCAACAGGCTGGGCAAACGAGACATGATAATAGAGACACAGTCACATTCAGTCTTATGAATGCCTGGTTCTCTCTCCAGAACCCAGCGGTAATGTTTTTCTATCTATCTCCTATCTCAAAGTGTTCATAACTTCTGGGATCCTCACTCCCCAACTCATTTTTGCTTCTTCCACTAACCCTTCAGGGTATGATATTGTATATATACCCTGGCATTATAGAAAGCTTCAGAAAACAAAAATTCAAACCTCAAGCTCTTTGTTCATTCAGGACAAAGGGTGAAATAGATGATATTACTCTCATCATACTCATTTTATAGAAGTTTGTTGTTTCTGTTTTAAAGTTACATATTTATTTATAAGGCTTCATAAAACTTAATTATTACCCATAGGCTTTGGGCAACCTCTGCAACAAATATCATAATCCAATCAGCCAGTTACCAAAGATCCAAATTCAAATAGATTAGACAAAAAGGATGGAATAAAAAGAAAGAGAAAAAGTGTCATGTGGAGAAACAAATAAAGAATCAGCCTTGGAGTCAGAAAAAATCTGTGTTCAAATATTGCCTGTGACATATTCTGACATACTGTATGATCACAAGCAAGTCACTTAAACTCTCAGTGCCCCCAAGCAATTCTTTATGATTATACATTGGAGTTGAATTGCTGGAATCCACTGATGGGAAGAGGTCCTTCACTCAGCATTCCCTACACTGATGAAATCACAGGCCTGGACTCTTCCCCCCCCAAAAAAAATTCAGATAATGTTATACCACAAATGCCTAGTATTTGGTATTATGTACTGATGATTAACTTTGGCCCAGTCTAGTTAGGTTAAATTAAGATTACCTCCACTTCCAAGTGTATTTTTTTTTATTGAATTGCATAATTGAGTGGAGAGTTGGCATTGTATTCCGAACAACTGTCTCCCAAATAATTGGTAATGTCCTATTCTGCTTGGTATCTGTGACACTGATGTCACCAGCATTCCTCCCACCTATTAATTCCCACATACACATTCTATATCTGCAGTATATTTCCATCCCCCTTGACACCTGGCGCCCATTTCAATATTGTTATTGTTTTCAGTGTGTATTTTTGGGCTTGTTAAACAACGAGTCGGAAAGAATTCTGGAATTCTGGATTACAAGGCCAAACATGTAGGCATCTATATACAAGGATGCTGCTGTTTGAGACAATTTTAATTGTCTTGATGAATCTTTGCCCACAGCATAAAAGTGATATTCTCTGAAGCACTCCTTAGAGCTCTGCCTCATTGTTTTATGGGCAGAATGCTAGAGAGAGATGGAAAGAAAGCCCAGTTTATTCACTTCTGTGAGGAAAATAAATAATTTTTAAAAGAGCCACTTACTAGATTTCAGCAATACCGCAAGAACCTCCGTGGCAGCCCTGGGGGAAGGGGAAAAAAAGAAAGGGGGGAGTCAGTTTTCAGCAGTATTTTTCATTAGCCTGTAGATTCCATAACCATCTTGTTCATTGCTGTCACCTAACATTCCCATTACTAACCTGGTCGCACACATCCTATTGATCTCTCTACCGGACCATTAAAAAGGCATAAATGCAGAAATAGCACTAGGGCAAAGCATTCATCTTTTTAATATGTCCCAGGAGTACCTTCTGCTCCAGAACATATCCCTTTACCTCCTCGTCCCTTTCTCTATCCACCATCTCACTGGATGTCTCTTTTTCCTAGCTCCTCCCTGCCAGAGCTGATGCCTGTCTCTGAATCTGTGCTTGAAAAACACAAAGACCCCAAATGAGTCTTAGGGGAAGGAAGGAGAGAGAGATGGGGAAGTGTATGGAGATGGAGTGGGGAGCTCAAGCATACAGCAACAAAGTGCAACATTCTTACAATATTTATCATACCATGGACCAAATTGAAAATATTCACGCATTAAGTTTTTAAAAAAAGTTGATACTTGAGAGTAGAAAGCTGCTATTTTGTTATTTTTTTTCCCAAATTCATCACTGTCTTCCATGGAAAGATTACCAACTTACAGCAAAGATAGGTGTATGAGAATGAATATTTCTGTTGGCACAGGCCTATGGAGACATTCTTCTGCCAACTGAGATTTATTGTGTTTAGCCCAAGCAAAGCCAGTCCAGTTGGATGAAAATTTCAATGGCAACGAAAATATTAGTGCAAAAAGTTGGGAAGGTTATATTTCTATTTTGTTTGGCTTTAAATGTTGATATGTTTTTGCACTTCCATGCAACGCTAAAAACCTAGGTCTTAAACAGTGGACGTTTTCACTGCCCCTTTGAATCACCTATCCAAGGTTCTAAAATGAGTTGTCAGACAAACTGGTAACCAAACCTCAGGGATAATGATTCCCACATTCCCCTCTCTCCTCTGTTTTGTTGCTGATTCTCTAACCAACTAACCCTCTCCTAACCTCTGCTATGTGGATGACAACACCATACTATTCAAGATAAATTATCTAAACTATAGCCATAGAACTGCCTGTAATAAAACATTGTACATGGCTGTTACCAGGATTCAAGGAACTTCTGCAATATCCCAATGCAACTAGTCAGGGGCCTGAACGTGCTTAGGTCCCCAGTGGCAAAACCTATAGCTGGCCAAAGTGTTCTGACTTTGTTGTTAAGCAAAACAAAACTAGAAAGAAGAAATGAAGACCACCAAGTAGAAAGTAGAATAATTTAGTTGGCTCCTTTACTAATCTCTTCTCCCTTTCTTTTCTGCAAAATAAACACTATTTTTCCTCACTGCTTCTTTTCCTGATCCATGCAGTCCACCAATAATAGCAGCTAGAGAGAGATGAACAAGGTAACTGCCCCATGATGCACCTTTAAAGCAGAGCACAAGTCAGAGGAACTAGAATGCAAAGAATAGAGAACATTCGGGGCAGCTAGGTGGCACAGTGGATAGAGCACTGGCCCTGAAGTCAGGAGGACCTGAGTTCAAATCCGAACTCAGACCAAATACTTAACACTTACTAGCTGTGTGACCCTGGGCAAGTCACTTAACCCCCAATTGCCTAAAAGCAAAAAATAAAAATAAAAAACAAAGAATAGAGAACATTCATGTGACTTGGAATTTTAAAAAGAAAATTGGGTTTGAATGCCAACTCTAATATTTTCAAGGTATGTAATCAGAGACAAGACATTTAAACTTTGGTTAAATTGAAAATATTAGTTTTCAATCTGTAAAATGTGGTAAATAATGAATACCTATAGTATTTACCTCCTAGGAATGTTGTGAGATGACATACATAAAAGTACTTGATAAGCCTTAAAATATTATAAATCCTCTCAGATATCAAATGGGGATATTAACAGCACCTACCTCTCAGGATTGTTGTGAGGATAAAATGGAAAAATATCTGTAAGGCACTTAGCACAGTACCTGGCACATAGTAAGTGCCATATAAATGCTTATTCCCTTCCCTTTGCCTCCTATTGTCACCATTATTTTGAAAATTAGACATTCTATTCTGTCTACTGACTTTTAGTATTACAAACCAGTCCAGAGGCAGCTCTTGCTCTCCTCCTTCTCTATTCCTACATACTTTCCCTCACCCACCCACTCACACAATGCAAGAAAATAAGCACTTATATAATTGTCTAATAGATTGGCTTATGTTCCTGAAACTGTGTTATCCCAAGTATGGTGTGTAGACAAATGGGGAGAGGACAAGTCAAGTCTTGCCATTTTGTCTCTGGCCTTCCCTTACCGCTAGATCTTGGAATGATCAGACTCTGACCTTACCAACCCTTAAAAGGAAATGTAAATAATTTTACTGACGTGACGTGAGTAAAACGATGTAAGCAAAAAAGTATTCACATTGATCACAACAAAAAGTTATCTGCCACACTTGGCATAAATGCAGTAAAACACTAGACCCACAATCACAGAGGCAGTATAGAGAATACAAGTGTATATACTCTATTTGGTATGTTAATTCATTCCTTCTGAATCTCCTTCTGACCTCTTCTGTGCATTGTCTTTAAATGCTTCATTGACCCTGTTTTATTTTTTTCCCTTTTTGGCATCACTACTATCAATATTCTCCACGAAAGAAAGAAAGAAAGAAAGAAAGAAAGAAAGAAAGAAAGAAAGGAAGGAAGGAAGGAAGGAAGGAAGGAAGGAAGGAAGGAAGGAAGGAAGAAGAAAGAAAGAAAGAAAGAAAGAAAGAAAGAAAGAAAGAAAGAAAGAAAGAAAGAAAAAGAGAAGGAAAGGAAGATGAGAGTGAGGGAGGGAGGAAGGGAGAGGGGGAGAGAGGACAAAAATAGAGAGATACAGAGAGAAAGTCCTAACTCCTTTTTTCTTTCAATTATTTCTAATTTATCCTGCATATAGTTTATTTGTTCCTATTTGTTTGCTTATTCTGTGAGCTCCTTCAGGGCAGGGATTTTTGTTTGTTTTTAACCTCCTTTTGTATCCCCAACGGTCAACACAATGTCTGGTACAGTATGAACTTAATAAATGTTTATTAACTGACAAATAAATACTTTTCACAAATATGAATAAATATATAAGGGGCACTCTTCTTAATAGGAGTTAGGAAAAGCTTCCTTTTGAAGATGGGATTTTAGTTGGGACTTAAAGGAAGGCAAGGAAGCCAGTGAGATGAAGAGAAAAACATTCTAGGTTGGAAAAGAAAATGCCCAGAACCAAGAGATGCAGTGTCTCTAATCTTTTTTTTTTGCTTTCATTTTTTGTTAATCTTATCTTTGATTCTCATTACTTCTGTTTTTTGTGTGTGTGCTTTTTTTTTTATTTGCTGTTCTTGTTTTTTCTTTAAGTAGTATGTCCAATTCAGTTATCTAATCTTTGTTTCTTTTGTAGATGTAAGTGGTTACACTGTTTCCCTCAAAGGACCTTTATGGCTACATCCCAAGAAGTTTTTCTGTGTTGTCTCAATGTTGTTAATTTATTTGATGAAATTATCTTTTATTCCTATGTATTCTTGGATCCACCAGTTCTTTAAGACTGAACTATTTAGTTTCTATCTTAATTTGAATCTTTTCTTCAAAGATCCTTTACTGATTTTTATTGCATTATAATATAACAACTTTTTATTGCATTGTAGTCACTAAAGGATGTGCTTAATTTTTCTGCTTTTCTGAATTTGCTTGTGAGATTTTTATGACCCAGCAGAGTCAGTTTTTGTACATCTGACATGAACTACTCAAACATATATATATACACACACACACATACACACACACACACACACACACACACACATATATATATATATATATATATATATTGCTTTCTCTTCCCATTCAGTAATCACCAGAGTTATCATATCTAAACTTTCTAGAGTTCTATTCAGATCCTTAACTCCTTTCTTGTTTACTTTGTATTCTTGTTCTAATGTTTCTTATTGTTTCATGGAGTCACAGAATTCTGTTTGTTGTATTATTTTCATCAAGTCTATTACTGAGGTAAGAGTTTCTTATTTCTGTTCTAATCTATTTGCTTTTCTTCCAATTCTTTTCTCCAGTATATTTATTTTATTTGTAATTCCATTTTTTTTATCTCTTGTTTCATTTTTAACTCTTGTCCTTGTAGCTAAACCATTTTTTTCCTCTGAAACTTGCTTGTTATTGTGGAATAAGTCTTGATTCATATTTCTTTGTAGTGTTCGGTGTCTTCTTCTGCTTACTCATATCTCCAAACTCAATTTCTAATTCGAGTTTTTGTGCAGAGTCAGGTTCTACCCCCTTCAATACCATGGGATGGGATATTCAGGCCCTGATTTTTTTTTTATTTCTGGGGTTCATGCCACAGACTTCCATCTCCTATTACATGTCTGCACTCAGAACATTAGCAGGCTTAGGTGTTCTTGGTCATAGTTGTAAAGTCAGCTCCCTTATCAGCATATAGTCAAAGACTTTTGTTCCCCCTACCAGGGGACCTTCCTACTTCAGTCAGTGCTGTGGACTATTGTTACCCCTACAGTCTCTCTGTTGCAAATATTGCTGTAAGCTCCTGCCTTGTTCACTTGTGCCTATGCTAAATTTCCTTCCCAAGATGTTTCTCCCAGTGCTTTTGGCTTTAGGTTATCTTTTTGTGCTGTCCTGGGCTACATGAAGAAGCATATTGATCTTTGCATTCCTTGACCAATATTTGGTTTGTTGTCCTTTTTATATCATTGCTTAAATAAATATGGGAGAACTGGTCTCCTCTAAGACTTTTCACATTGCTATATTAACCATAAATATTATCGATGCTCTTTCCATTGAACTTCTATTTCTATTTGCGCATAGCCAAAATAATACCCACTTCCATGAGATTACCCTAGTTAATGGGGTTGACAGAGTCAATGACCACCTATGACAATATTAATAATAAAGTTACCAAATTCCCACCAGCTGAAAGGGGCAGGTTTGTTTTGACCTGCAAAAATTGTATT